TACAGCCACATTTGATCTCTATGGCCCGGACCAGTAAAAATGTAGAAAATAAGGGCCATTTAAACCATTCTATGCCTCAGTTTATAATGTACATTACTTACAGATCACAGTGTATCTACAAAAACATTTAGTCACCGGTATATGGAACTAAACAATATAGTTATTTTACTTTATGGTCTAGAAATTATTTTACATTAATTTCCACATCTGTGTTGTATTCATGACCACCTTACAAACTAAAGTGGGAGCTATTCAGGAAGAAGGTTAATCTACCCCCCTCCTTGAAAATGTACATACAAAATACATACAAGTTGTGAAAAATCAGTCTTCTCTGTAATTTCTACACTTTGCAAAGTCTTCCCGCGGGCCTTATGTTTGACCCCCCTGATATGCAGTAGAGCGTGTGATCTTTGATGAATATGAGTGTTTCCATCACCATAGAAGAGGTACGCAGACAGTGCCTGCAGGTCCTTGTTCTGTGTGAGACGGGACATCATTTCTGAATGGCTGGTTGTTGCCAGGCTGAACACGGAAGATATGCGATCCAACAGGCCGGTTCGAACCAGGAAGTTAGCAAGCCAATAAGGTATGATCTTCAAGGTGGCAATAAGTGGCGTCCGCCGTGAAGCAAGCTGCAGGAGGAAGACATACGAGGTTAATTATAATCATCAATACACGTATAGATCACAAGGTCCACTAGTTTTCTGAAAATATTTTAAGATAAGTGGACTTTTATTGATCCCCGTCGGGACATTCAGTTTTCATAGCCGCAACAGAATAAGAAAGAAACACGGAGAAAAATAGGAATATATAAAGTATAAACATGTATTAACAGTAATAAAGGGAAATGTAAAAAAAAAAAAAAAAAGAGTTAAATTCTTATCCAGTGATTGTACATAGGTATACTGAAACAACTGAAACGTTGGCTTTACTTAAATGGATTATGTCAACAAATTTCACATAACTGTATTAGGTTAGTTGAAAGCAATGATATTAAGTTGAACCAAATATTTCTTATTTAAACTTAATATTATTGCTTTCAACTAACCTAATAAAGTGATGAAAAATCTGTTGACATTTAATTAAAATCAACATTTCACATTTCAGTGTACCAGAGCGGGTATTATTTTTGTATGTGCATACAAGGGGTAGCATAAAAAAACAGCCTTGTGTCACATAAAAAAGTTGTTTTGTCAAAGATGTACCTTGTACACATCCTTGTTCGTTAATTATACTCTGATAATCATTACCGTCCTTCCTTATGCACCCTTTACCTTCATCAATCTCATGAACTCATCAATGGCCTCCTCCTCTCCTGGGAACTGCTTCTTCAGGCTTTCTGCCATTTCAGTCTTCCCTGAATGGATATGGTACTCCCTGAGAATGACAAAATAAAGAAGAAACATTGAAAGACAGGAGTAAATTAACTGCAACCTAATCATTATGTGTTCATTTGCCATACCTGCGCTGGTCATTCTGACCCAGGATCACTGTGTCAAAGTGCTGCTCCAGCTTTGTGAACTGCAACTGTCCCTCTGTGATCTGATCCAGAGCCACCCTCAGCAGGCTGCCCTCATGGAGCTGGCCCAGGTAGTGGATACCTGGTGGTGGCAGCGGGGTTAAATCACCTTCATTTATATAGTGATTCAAAACGTAAAACATACATAGAAAACAAGACAAGACTGTATTGTGGCAATCTGAAGGGAAGTTTGCTTAAAGGATTTCATGGAGCACAGCAGGTGCAAAGATGGATAGAATATGCTAATGTCTAAATAAACTAAAATATAGCAAAGTAATCAGTCAAAAATGCTGTAGTGACTGGAGCACAGGGTTGAGAAGGATTGCCATATCCTGTATGTTGGTCAATCCCCATCTTATCCTTATCATCAATCACTTTTTATTTAGCTGAATTCTTTTTTCAAAGCCACATTGCAATTACAGGAAAGACATTTTCATGTGTGCTGATGTGTGTTTCGGTGTTCTTCATCTTCTTACCCACATCAAACTCAAATCCCTTATTCTGAAAGGTGTGTGTGCAGCCTCCAGCCTGATCATGTTGCTCCAGAACGAGGACCCTCTTTCCGGCTTTAGACAGAACCGCTGCTGCTGTCAAACCTCCCACACCGCTGCCAATCACCACCGCATCCAGAGCGGGGGGTACTCGGTCCACACGAAACCCTGCAGGACAACACATTTTAACATCAGTCTGGCAGATAGGTTGGCCTCAAGAACTCTTTCTTGACGTCCTGAACATAAGGGTTATAATTTATAACATAACCATGTCTCTAAAGGGCGGGTTGAAAACTACTTCAGAACTGAAGTGATTCGTCCGTGCTGCAGATGAAAGGGTCTGTCTAAACTTAAGCCATGTCCTACCCGCGCTATATGTAAATTCATGGGAAGTCAACAACATACGGATAAACTGGAGTGACTTTCCACAACTTGGCACTCCAGTTTATCCGTATGTTGTTGACTTCCCATTTTTTTCCCATTTCCCAATTTTTGTAATTTTTCTCCAGAACATTTATTAAACAGCTTTAGCTACTTTTAAAAAAATATCTCCAAATTCAACTAGTGGACTAACTCTTTAAGTCACCAAAGTGTCAAATTATTTAAACATTTTACAAAGCAAGCCAAACGGAATTTTGTTTTTCTTCAACAGTAAAATGCCACTTGGTGCCACAACGTTATTTAGAAATGTCCCATATTTAAAATATAATTAAATAAACATATAAAGGCAGTTTTTCTGCCCAATGGTTACTTTTTGTACTCTAAGTACATTTAGCTGATAATGCTTTTGTACTTTTACTTAAGTATGATTTTGAGTTCATGACTTTAATTGTAATGAAGTATTTTGAGAATAATGTATATACTCAAGTAAAGCATCTGAATAATTCTTCCACCTCTGCCTCTGTTTACTATGACAGTTTATACAACATGAAGGTTGAATGAAAATAATATGCATGGTATGGCTGTTGAGATATTTCAGTCTCGACTAAACGGATGGACTGATCAACATCCCTTGAGTAGAGATCTACTTTCAAATGTTGCGTTGATTTTCATCTAATTTGACTTCTCTGCAAGCCACTTTGTTTCCCTTCTCCCGACAATTTTCCTTCCACCAGCCCTACCGACAACCTCTGGAATACATATAAATAAATATATGAATCATTTACATAATTCACACGGCAAGACCGGGGATGCTATACGTTTAAATAAAACAACCCTAATTGAATGAAAGTAAAAGTGAGACTGCAAAGAGTTTGAAACCATGTTATTTTTGTGGAAGTTAGATGGAAATACCCCTTATCCCAACATGTACCAATTTGGAAACTGGTCGAATTGGACCCGAGGACAACAGGAAGGTTCATTTGTGGGGTGATGAAGGAAAGAACTGAAACAGTGTCTTTAATTTGATGTATTATGTCAACAGATGTCACCGAACTGTATTAGGTTAGATGAAAACAATAACATCAAGTTGAACTTAATGTTTTTTATTTAAACGTAATATTATTGCTTTCAACTAAACTAATAGTTATGTGAAATCTGTTGACATAATACATTTAATAAAAGTCAACGTTGCTGTTTTTTCAGTGCAGAAAGTTCTTCTAGACAGGAGGTCTGTCGGCTTATCACTCCTGTCAAAAACCATCTTTCCTACCTCTCTTCAGCCTGTCGTCTCTCTGCCTGCTGTCAGTCACCAGGGGTCCTGGGGGCCTCAGGCACTTCTCGCTGAACACCTTGTAGCCTCTCCCGGTGATCAGGAAGAAGACGACCACCACCACCAGCAGCACACAGCCCGAAACGCCAAGCAGCCACCACCACATCGCAGAGGGGAGCGGTGTGTTCACTACACAGCAAGATGGAAAAGAGAGGAACGAAGAAGAACACAGGGGTAGAATACCAGATTCCAAATTAGAGGTAGGAGAGCAAAGACTAAGAAAGGATATCCTCCAACAAGCTTTCCCCAGAAAGAGCTCCTAAATTCAGGGGAGGAGATGAGTTACAGTGAGGGGTGGAGAGAAGGATGATGGGGGAAGACGCTTATTAAAGTTCAGGGATATGTAACACATGACATTTTGGAAATTTCTACGGCACAAAGAGCACAGCAGATAACACATTCGCCACACCAAGGACATGAGACTCAGAGATAAGAGAGGGCTGGTTGTTTATCACTGGAGACTGGAGCACACCCTTGCCACCAATTTGCTGCCCCTCCTAAACTGCCTTAGGATGGTTATTTTTACAAAATCCTCACTGTATATCTGAAATCAGACCGGTTCCACTGCATGATTGGGAACAAAGATGCTTTCAGAGATGCAATGCTGTGAGGAGGAGGTTTGGACCACTTGGCTTTCTTTTTTATCACATACATTAAAATGTTTACGGCTTTTTCTGTTGGGCCTTCCAGAAGTAATTTAAGGGAAACAGATATACATCATTTTGTTGGTTTGATCACTTTCCAAGATTGAGAGCAGTGAAATGCAGCGTGGCATACACTTAGAATATTTAATAGACTTGAGGTAATAATAAGAACAATTTAGACAAATTTGACAATGTGTTTTTGTACTACTTCCAGCATTTCACTATTGACATTTTGACGCTGAAATCTGTCAGAGACCAGAGGAGGAACCAGAACCAGCAGAGCCTCCATCCTGATCCAGCTTGGTCCATTACATTTTAGCAGCGACGTTTCTCCGACCCTGCAATACCTTTGAGTGTGTGTTGGTCATGATGTGGGGAAAAAACAGGAAGTCAAATAATTTTTTTGTTTGTGGTCAAACTAAATTTGTCAAACAAAAAACTAGTTTGTTTTTATTTGTCTACATTTCTTCAACCACTCACATGCACGCACACACACACTCGTGTTACTCTACAAATCAGGGGTCTTCAACGTCATTCAGAACCCCTTTTCGGGAAGCGAGTGTTCACTATCAAGGAACATATAAATATACAAGATTTGATTATTTCTTATCCTTTAAATCAATCAACTGTGTAATAGCAAATACGTTAAATACTTTAACCCTTAATTTACACATGTGGAATGGATTTCACAAAGATTGACAAAATAATCATTGAATAAGCGGTCCCAAAGGATTCTCTGAAATGTAAACATTTTAGATATTTACATTAAATTACATTACATTTGGCTGACACTTTTATCCAAAGCGATTTACGATAAGTGCAAACACCATAAAGATTCAAACTCAGAACAACAACTGGAAAAGGCCTAAATTCATTTTTATTTTATTTCTTAATGGTGGGTTATGTAATTTTGGAGAAACCAGCTCGAGTGCGCTAGAATTTGAAAATACACAGCCGGAACAAATCTGCCACTTCCTTACAGAGCCCTTCCTCCAACACACACGAACGCGCACATGACCAATGAGGGCACGAGATAAGTTTGTGCACAGATGGAAAGCTGACAGGCAGGTAGGCCATCCAGTTATTTTAGTTGGGCCGGCTAAAATGATTGGTCGTGCTTTTCACAGTACTACGGCTTCCACAGATGAATTTTTTTTATGGATTTTTTATCAAAGCACTTAAGATATTCATTGCTATCGGGATGTTAAGAGCATTCCATGGAATATAACAAAAAGTGTATCTCGAGCCGGTTTCTCAAACTTACCTACCCCACCTTTAAGTGCTTTTATTTTTTTATTTCTTTTCTCAAGGATTTAGTTTCTGCTATACTGGTGTACTTGACGTTAAAATGTATTATTAAATGTATTAAACATATATTGGTACTCTATCAGGATTACAGTATGTTTAGTTTGCTTCAGATATATTGGCTGAGATATTAGATGTATAAAAGTAGTAAAGATAGGTTCATATAAACACTAACTTTAATGTACATAGAGGCCGGGGTGGACAGTAACTAAGTACTCTATTACTACACTTAAGTATAATTTGAGTTACTTGTACTAAAGTATTTCCTTTTCCTGCTACTTTAAGCTTTTATTGCAGTAAATCTCTGAGCAAATATTGGAACTTTTAACGGCACTACTGTTCTGAAATCACTTTGATGATTCAAATTATTAAAATAAAATAAACTAGGGAAATAGTTTCTTGATGTATAACTTTGGTGACGTTCACAAGCTACACCCAAGTTAAGATAAAGTTCACCTTGAGGTGCTGCGAAATTAAATAGATGAATACATTAATCCATTATTAATTCAAATACAATAAATATGTTATTCGAAAATAGGCAGCCAAATGTACCTTAAGTACATTTTTAGAGTATTTACACTGTAGAGATACTGTTTATATAACCAACCACAAATGACAATGTCTATATTCAAGTCAAGTGTTAACATTTTCCTTACAAGAAATAGTGCAAAGAAAAAAATACTGAATGCACATGTAATAGATGTTACGACTGAATAAACGGGTTTGAACTAAAATGCACGACTCACACAGGTTTTAACAAAAAAGGGTTTATTCAAACCAATGCTCAACTACAATGGTACAAAAAACTAAATCACTCTGGATCTGCCCCGCCAGGTGGTTGATCTGGTTGGTTACGGATGACTCGAACTCCCTCTGGCTGTCCGTGACGTGCGATACTCCCTGCTGGATGGCCGTTAACTGATCCTCCTGTTGAGCGAGGCAGACTCCCTGAGAGCGAATCACTGCTTTCAGCTGTTCAGAGTCGGCTGGGTTCATGTTTAGGCCAGTTCGTACTGTTACGACTGAATAAACGTGAGCTTTTTGAACAGCGGGTCCAGGTCGCTCTGGTAAGCTGAGAGGAGTGTCTCTATGGAGTTGCAGGTTTGATTCCCTCCCAATCTCACCAGGTGAATCAGCATCTGGATTTGGAATGCCGCCCCGTTCAACCCAGGCCTTCAGAGCCTCAGGCGACATGTGCTCCTCGCTCACCATGGAGTTCTTCAGCCTGGTGAGGGCGGCGCTCATCTGGCCTTCACTATGATTAATTTTGCCCCTCAGATCGTCTTTTTCCTTAGCAACAAGAATGCAATACGATCAAATTGGACATCTCCAGCTCCTCAGCAAACACACAACGCAGAGCTTCCTTTGTGCTGTCTTCTGGTGGACTGGAGGAACAGTTGTCGATGTACAGGGCAATGCCCAGCGCTCCAAGGCCTGTCACTTCAGGACCTGACCTCACTTTGACCACCACACTCAGCATGCCGCTGACGTACCATCCCCCATCGTCTGCTTGCATTTTCCGCTTTTCGTAGAGTTGTCTCAGGTGGTCTGAGGAAGTGAGACTAAATAACCTTGCAATGGTCTTTGAGGGTTTCACAAACTGGTTCATTTGTTCTTTCTCCCGCAAGTCTGCTGTGCTCAAGCAACTGGCCATGTTTTTGTTTTTTAGGGTCAGATCAAAGATGGGAGTTGGAGATTTCTTTGTAACTCTGCAACACAAATATTTTAAAATCTTCTTCAGTCAAACAAATCTTGTACTCCATCTTTTTTGTACCCACAAATAGATAATAAAGACCGTTTTGTTTACAGCGAATTACAACAAGCGAGGGATGTCGGGAAACCAGAAAGTATTAAATATCACAATTCTTGAAACCAACTCAATAGCACAGTGTTAAACAAAACCCCACATATACTTCAACCAGACGTGGAGTACTCGAGTTGGACTTAAGTGCCGATTTGCAGGACTCGTGACTTGACTCGGACTCGCGCACTGATGGACTTGGACTCGCACATTGACGATTGGACTTGCAAGTTTTAAGTCCGGATGTACCCTTCTCCAGGTGTGAGCAGCTGTGAGGCGAGTTCCCGTATCGCGTGCCGCCGCCATTCTCAGTCTAAGGATTGTTCAGAGACACACACGCTCCGCATCGTGCTGTGTGCTTTTACAGAAAGAGCAGACAAAAGGACGATTCAGGAAAAGGCTGGGACAACTTGGAATTTCATGAGAAAAAAAATACACTGTTTCAACATTGAAATTGCACTATGCCGCTCCACTGTTAAAATGATTTCAATTACGTTCTCAACAACAATGCATATAAGGAAATGAATTCAACCACATTATAAAAGTTGACTTTGATCCCCAATAATTATTTATTTATGTTTATGGCCCATCCCTGATTGAATTGAATTGATCGATTTAAAACATGGGACAGTGTACATTAATCAACATATTAAAAACATGTAAATGTACTCGAATTAGCCAAAAGGCTAGTTTTCCCTTTGCCAGATGGTGATAGGCATCCTAAAAGCAAGAATAAAAATACCATTACATTGTTATACAAAAGAAATGTACATCTTTACAATAGACGACATCACTGAATACAGAAATAAAGTCACAATAATAAAGAAAACATTCACAATACGCACTCACACACACACACACACACACCTACACCCACACATCAGTGCTAACACTGTTGGTTATCAATGAGCCACCTTTTAACACTGTGCTTGAATGAGTAGTAGGATGAAGACTCTCTTATAGATTGTGGTATTGAATTCCTTTGATGGGATGCGTTGAATGACAGCCTGGCTAAATGCACATGTTTTCCTTCTTGTGTCTTGTCTGATCCTACTCCCTAGCCTCATCTCAATACCCCTCCTCGACTCCTCTCTTCCCCTCCTCCGGGACTTGACCCGGAAATCGATCAAGACACGCCCTTTTGAAGGACGTCCCAATAGCTGAAATGCACACGGAGGAGTCGAGGAGGGGTGAGGGAGGAGGGGTGCGGGGTGCGGGAGGATACACGAGAGCAGACTATGCGGAAGTGTTTTCACTACTCGCGTATAAAAGCCCCGCCCCTACCTTCACAGCTGGTCGATTTCAACAGAGGAAAACCGACAACTGGAAGATGAGTGGAAAAGCGTCACATAAATGTATAAGTGCTCACAGCTCTGTTGGAATCAGGCCCGGTTCTACGGGGGTGCATAAGGGTGCATTGCACCCTCAGTTGATTCGTTATGCACCCTCATTTGAAAAATGAAAAGTAAAAAAAAAGTGAAAAGCAAATCTAAAGTGAAAAATATTACATATTAACAATAATAATAATTGTA